AAAAAAAAAAAAAAAAAAAAAAAAAGAAAGGAAAAAGGAAATATGAACAGAACATCTTTTTTTGTAAGAGGGCCTGCCTTCTTTTCTGCTTTCCTCAGCCTGTTGTTGTGTAAATCACTCTGTTACATCCAGCAAATTAACTGCACGTGCTGCAGCGTGCAGTGGGAGGGCTGCTGCGGATTTGTCCATTTCAATAGGAGTGGGATGTAGTGTCACTTCATTTAACCCACACCAAATGCTGCCTGAGAACCCTGAAAAGTTATTCAGCAATAACTTTCAATCCCATCCCCAGGAAGGAAAAAAAATAAAATAGTTTTGAACAGTAGAGTTGGAGCCCATAGTTGCAATAAAATCCAGGAACAGGTTATTTTACCTGAATTTATCGCTTAGCAACCAAGAAACTACCTCCTGAGATTGCCATTCGTGGGTTACCAAGTAACTGGCTGTGACAATTACCAAACAGCTGTCCCAGGAATCTACATAGGCTTTAACCTCCGTCAGCTGAGAGATGGGCTGATGACAGCTAACAAACAATAGGAACACACCCTAATATTTTATTTAAGAGCTGAGGGAAGCCACAGCTGTATGGATCTTTCAGCTAGCTGGATTTAACTGCTTCGGACCACGCTGTGCTGAGAGGTGTATGCAGGGCTTCTTCCTAACTTTGTGTCTGAGAATTGATTCCATCCTGCCAAGATAGGTTTTGCTAATGTGCAGGAATGCTAAGCTGCTCGTTGTGAGGTGGTTTATAATGTTCTTCCATTCATTTATTATTGGGGTTTACAGAATGTTATTGTTTTTGGTAATTATTAGTGAAAGGCAGAGCGTTACCTATCAAATAATAAAGGAGTAACTTAGGAAAGGGGAAAAACATCACTAAGACTGGCAAAGAAAAAAAAGTGCTGAGCTTGGCTATTGAGAGGAGCTGCTTATAATGAGGTGGATTATGTCTGGGGGTGGTTTCCCAAAGGAAACAAGGAGGACTATAGTTGCAATGTGTGCAGGTAGGCTGGAGGCACTGTAACGCACTAGAAACATTAGGTAGACTAATGCACGTGTCAGACTAATGCAGGTGTCAGTCCGTGCTATGTAGATTCCTCTCCTAATGCTGAGGAGTGGAAGTGGCTTATTTACTTATTTTTATTTCCTTTTTTATTTTCTGTGATTTTACAACCTTAAAAATAGCGGGCAGCAAACCTGCCACCAAGTGCAAAGCCAACTGTTTATGCAGATGGTTTTGATGCTCTGAGCTGGCAGGGAGATTTATGGACGTGCCTTATGCCAGAAGTTCTCAGTGGCTCCTTTTAGCTTAAAATAGAAACAGGAAAAGGGGTTTGGGAAACCATGACCCTGTTTACATGCACAAATGGGAGGCAAGCCAGCTGTGGCTGCAGCGACAGGGGATCTGCAGGTATTGAGAGGAAGAACACTTGGCAATCAGTTGTCTTGCTAGTGCTAGCCTTGCTCTGGCATATTCAAATTGAGATGTTACAGTCTGCTCTGGCATATTCCATGCACTGCCATAGGAGGAGTCACCTCAGAAAATCCTACACCAGTTTTCCACCGGCAGCAAGTTCGAAAAGGGAATTTCCCCAGACCAATGCTGTCACGTTTCTCTGAAGGGCGTCTTCGTGGTCTTTGCTATTTATCTTATTTTACCTCTTATGGATTTAAAATTTTGCCAGAATCACTTTGTTTTTGGAGTATCGTTAAGTGGCTCTGTTTATTGCATTATCTTCCCGTTAAAATTGTGTAATAGGGAAGTCAGAAAACTTGTGACCAGATTTTCATTTTGTCGTACAATGTTTTTTCCTGTTTGTATTTAATAATGGCCCTCAAAGATTGTTAAATTTGCTACCTGAGGTACGCAGAAGAATGGAGGAACTGAAAGGACAGTAACCTGGGGAAACAGAAATCCTTCTCCTGTGCCTGCTTTCTGACCGTGTGTAAGGACCCATGTGATGCCCTGGGTTAGTAGTTGGTGGCTTTGGCCCTAATACAGGTCCCCACGCCTACATCTGGGCTGTGGCAGATGCTGACAGGTGACGTGGGTGGAGATGTGTGCTTCCAGCCAGTGATTCAAGCCCTGAGGACTGCAGGACGCCAGTTCTGCTGTCATCTTTTCCATTTACAGCTGGCTTGTTCTTTCCTCCTGCTTCCTGCACCTTTTGCTGCTCTGCCCCACTGCTCAGTACCTCCATAAGGGCAAGTAGCTTCTGCCACTGCCTCCAGTGTCCCTCTGTACTCGTTTGGTTGGTCTTGTAGCCTCTTTCATTAAAAACTGTTACAAACAAAACAAACTATTTCAACTTGCTATGAATTTGTAATTATTTTTATTGTCGGTTGGATTCAAAGTGTGTGGTTTTTTGTTGTTTTTTTTTTTAAACTTTGTCACAGCTGAAAAACTCATGATCTGCCCCATTAATGCCTCATTAACTTGCATCTAGTGTGACTGTTCAAGCGATGTGGATGCTTAGAAAATGAGTAAAGGCATGGGAAGTATTTGTATAAAAAAAAATGGAAGCCAGGTGTCTTCTTGATATTAATCACCTGTCATTGCCATCACTGCAATGTCTTTGCATGTCTGTTGTGGACATGTGGCACTGTGATCATAAGCACTTGGGTTAAACGTGGGGAGGGCAGAGCCATGGTGCTAGAATGAGGCTCATCACTGCTCAGAGCACGGCTCCTTTCCTGCTTTCCTGTGTTCCTCCAGCCCCACACCAAAGGTACTTCCACTGTTCAGCTGGTTGTTGGCTTACTTGGCTACAAAGGGAAGGGCAGGAGATGCCAGTGACCATCTTGCTTGCACCCTGTCCTGCCATTCATTTATCTCTGTGGACTAGTTTGGATACAGGAAGTCTTTTCTGGGACGTTCCTTCTGGCTCTTGATGACAGACCGTGGCCATCCTGTTTTCTGGCTGGTAGCTGGTTGGTTACATTGACAGATGTTGCAATGATTCTTTTGGCAATATTCTGTTGTGCTGACTGTTCAAACAGGAAATTCATCTTTTAGTATTTGCACATGTTAAATGTTTGCTTTAGTAGGAATCGCTCTGACAGCAGGCTGGTCAAACAGTGTATTTTTGGAGCGGCAACCTCTGGAATTCTCAAAGTCCTCATCGTCCCATAGATCTGCTGGGGCTTGGCTTGGAGCCCTGTTCCCTGAAATACCGCAGAACTGGCTTCTGAGGAGAGGCGACGTGAGCTGCTGAGCTCCAGGTTGCTGCTGTTTCCCTCCCTCAGGATGACGCGTTCCTGCATGTGTTGGATGGCACCTGGCTCAGATCGTGCTGTGGTGTGGCACTCTGGGACACCTAGGAAGGTTTGCTGTGTGATGGAGTCCATGCTGTCTCCATCCTCCCTTCGGTCTCCGAATGCCTGGCTTATCGAGGTGGCCTCTTGTCTCATGCTCATGGAAGAGAACAGGAAGGTGGCTGTGGTTGTGCTGCATGTGAGAAAGTGAGGACATGCTCAGGAAGCATGCAACAAGGACGAGCCAGAGAACTTAGTCTGATGAAGCAAGTTTTCATCTAAATCTACTTGTCTGGTGATAAGTCCCATTTCAGGTGACGTAATTTGGCCTTAGTAGGCTTCTCATTTCATGAACAGTCTGCAAATGCCGGTGTGATTTAATGGAATGCATTCTAACTTGTTTCCTAAATTTTCACCAATCAAAACTGTGTACTGATCTGGGGGCTGGGAGTGGCTGTCTCATTGTAAGTAGTGGCATTAGAGATGCCCTATTCGTTGAGGCCCATTCCTTCAGCTGAAGTTTATAGAATGTCAAAAGTTACAATATTTACTACTTTTCAGCACAGGAAGCACACTTACAGATGACCTTATTATGGGAAGAAGCTGCACAGAGACAGGCTTCTGCTACCTGTGGCAGAAAAAAGGTTTGATCTGAGCAGGACCTCTCCAGACCCCTTCACCCTCACTTGGGAGGTGAGAAACAGAGCACATATGAAAGCTGCTTTGTGACTTGCCAGTCTTTTGGCAGTACTTCAGAGCTACGGCTATTTTGAGTCATGGATCTTGGGAGTGGAAAAAGGCTTTGTGGCAAACCTAGCATATGCATTTCTGAGAAACACATTCGGTTCCTATATGGTTATTTTTGTGTGTTTTGACAGGAAAAATCGAACAGTGAGGAGAACATGCTCAGAGGAGTTGGATTACAGCTTACACGTGTATTCGAACCCAAAGTTACACAATTTCACGAAGAACTGTGTGCAGAAATGGTTTCTGATTTTGCTTACAATGGCTGAGGTATAAAATCCTTGTTATTTGTGAATTTGTAAAGGAAACATTTGCTAGGTGGTGAACTGCTGAAAAAGTTACACCTGCAAGAAGGTAGAAGAGTCCTTGGGAATTCAGTGCTGATTAGCACTGATGAAATATGTGATATGTGGTGAAATATGTCCTTCAAAAACTGACACTTATATGTTTTCGCGTTTGGAGCTTGCATTGGTTGTTCACCCATCAGTTGTATTACGACGCATATAGTTTCTAGAGCTTTACTGTCTTTCATGCTGTGATAGTTTTACTGATCACCAGGATTTTAGTCTCCTTATCATTCTATTTTTATTTGCTAATTTTCTTCTCAAACGTCCTGATCTCTGAGTAACAGCATTGCTTCTGGCAGAGTCGTGCTACTTCCAAAAGAAACATCACAGTGGTGTTTTCACGTATGAGCAAAAGTGCGTTGCAGGAAAAGGCACTGTCTTATAACAAAGTTTGTTTTTTAAGCTCAAAATAAGCAGGATTTGAATGTTATTTAACAACGTTTTTTGTGAGAAGGAATAGGATTTAGAAAAATGAACCGATTCTTCAGCCAGATCTGTCACGAATTGCAAAAGCAGCTGGGAGATTTGGCCTGAGAATCAAGGTTGTTTTTTCTTTTTTCTTCATCAGAGTTTGTAAGAGATTTGGAGGGACATAACATTTATTTCCTACTTCCCTGAGCTTCAGTCCAGGCCTTGGAAAAACCCATCTGACAGTGAGTTTGTTTGTATATTTCAAATTTTTTCCTAAGTATGCTAGGCTCGTTAGCAAGCCTTGGAAAATGCATACTTTGTTGAAGTTAATATGGAAAACAAGATACTGAGGGCTCAAATCTGTCTCCAGAATATAAATAAGCATACCTTCCTTTGGAGCAGGTTTTGACTGGAGTCATACTGGAACCCTTGTTTCTGGGAGAGTTACGAATGTGCTTTGCTAGGAAATGCTGTTCCTTAAAGAGCTCGTGAGGCCTACAGGGTCTACATGAATTCTGATCCTGCATGTGCACGGCACCATGTGGCCTGAACAGGACCTCACTTGTGTTGGCAGGAGATGCTAATGGCAGGTACTTTGCCATGGAAGACACTGGGATGCTTGGCTGCAACACGTCATGAGGACATGGCAGTGACAGCTCAATGCTGACCAGACTTCTTCAACCAATATGCAACACGTTTAAATGGCAGAGGAGCCCAACCAAAAGGTGTTGCTCAAAATGGTGCTTCGAAGGCTTAACCAATGAAATAACTCTTGACATTGCATGAAGTTGTCATATTTACCTCTGCCTCTCCATTTCTATGATAATTTTCGAATTCAAAGGTTGGATCTGAGAATTTCGTATGAATTAAATGTCTGTGTAAGCTCTGCTTACCCACTTGGCACAAGGTGGTTGTTTCCTCGTGGATCAGAATTCATACTTCCCATTAAGCCAAAGTAATTTCTGTTCACCACTGTCACACTAAGTTGGGTCCTTTGGTGATCCCCTCATTCCAAAAGCCCAGTTGTTAAGTAAGCTTTGATTAAAGGGGTCTCTTTTTTAAGCCAAGCTTATGGCAATGTTAGCGAACGCTAAGAGAGCAGAACTGCACAGTACTGAAGGACGTGGGGTGTCTCAAATTGCTGGTAGAGAAAATTGCATTCTGAGGCAATGTGTAAAGATTTTCATTTGAAACTTGCTCTGGTGTTCAAGTCCCCCCAAGCAATGATGTACTTGGCTCTTCAGCTACTAACTAGAGGAGTATGTGCATGGCTCTGAGCATGGCACCAGGAGGCACCTTCCTGCTCTGATTGCTGAAGTACTTCAGGCTGCAGTACCATGTGGCAAACTGCAAAGTCCTTTTCACCATCCACTGCTCTGGCTGCAAGTATTCTTTATTATATTATGCCTGTGATAGAGGAAACATTTTCATCTTTACAGCGTGATTAGTTTTGTAGGGTTCAACAGCTTTCCATATTGCTCTTTATCTGGAATCACATTGTGCAGCATCATTTAGTTGTGGTGAAGATAACAACATTATATGCTGTGAAGGGACAGCCAGATGAATGCTATCCCCCTCAGGTAAACTGTTTTTGTGCATGTGCAATTGTAAATGGTGGAAAAGAATGCCTTTCTGTATTGTCTATAGCTCTATTTTTTGCAGCAAAACTGCATTTAGCTCACCACAACTAAGTGCACAGTTAGTAGAAGGAATGCTCTGCCTAAGTATCTGTTCAGAACCCTCTGTGTATTTGATTAAACCTTTCAGTAGCCAGCAAAGCTCCTGGTGAATGCATGTGCAGCAAAACATTTGGACTCGTATGCAGTGCTGCAGCTTAAGTTGGTTAATCGTAAACCAACAACTCCAGTAATAAGCAAATTTCTGAGCTACCTGTCAGATCAGACTTCAGCTATCTATTGGTGGTGTGCACTGAAGATCAGTGCTTTTCTCAGGCACTGGTGTTTTGATTTTCATCTACCTGCATGAGATGATGCTTTTTTTTTTTTTTTTAATTGGGGAATTTGCATTCAGGAAAATTACACAACTCTCCAAAAAGGAACAGGTGTTCATAGCTGTTGGAAGAGGTCTATGTCTTCCATCACAGACCTGGCTTCTTCCTCAACTCATTTGCTCCAGGAGGGTTTTAAAACTGTTTTTTGTAAGAGGAAATGTACTGTCTTGTACTGAACAGAGGCAGAACTAATTTATTCTAACTTGGTTTTCATCTGAAGATGTTTTCTTGGGAATTGTAGCTAGAGAATCAGGTAACATGAAGGGATGGTCTGGGACCTCTCCTTTACAACTTATTATTGCTGTTTCTTCTACGAAAATCATGGAAAAAGTCCCTCCCATAATTACCTTATAATGAATGTCTCGTTCCTTTGCAGAAACCAGTGTGCAGTAATTATTTCTTAAACGCTCTGATTGCTTCTCTGACCCCTAGATAGTGGATGCAGTATCATCAGGATCACTAGCAGACATGGAAGGCAGCTCTGTCTGCACAGAAGTGGAACGTGCTTGGTTCCATGAGCACATGCTGCTGGATCGTGTCAAGCTTTTGGTCTACCAGAACCCCCACGTCCTTGTCCACAGGGCTGCTCTCCAGGAGATCTTCTCTCAGTCTGTACACACATCTGGGATTGCTCTGACCCAAGTGCAACAGCTTGCACTTGGCCTTGTTGAACCTTGTAGGTTCATGTGGGCTCACTTTTTAAGCATTTCCAGGTCCCTCTGGATGGACCTTCCTCTGTTGCACCACTGCAACACTCAACTTGGTGTTGTCTACACATAGCCTGAACAAGATCAGATGAGGTGAGCATTTCAGAGCACAGCCAGTCCCACTGTGTCAGGACCACTTGGGGGAACAGCACTGACACCCCCTTCACTCCTTGTGTCATCGGGGTCTTCGGAAGGCTTCTCCCAGGAAAGCCTTTAAGTGAATTTCCTGCTGCTGCTCATTAATGTTTTGCTAGTTTTAATTTCTTCCTTGTCTTGTATCACTAATCAAGAAGTAATTGAATTAGCTGAAAAGAAGGATAAGACAAATTGGCTGAGAAGAATTAACTGTGTGCACCCGAGGTCAGCAGGCTCCTAGAAAATCCAAGGTGCGAATTAGTTGGACTATAACTGAGATTCAGCGGGAAGTTACTAAGTTCTCTGGAGAATCAAGATGCAGAAATACAAATGACAGTCTAACCATGAAAACCTAGCTATATCTGAAAGTATTTGGGCAATTCCTTTCTATTTCAAGACAGGAGAGCAAAGGACAGCACTTACATTCTTTCCAACTGCTTTGTTTAATGAAGGGAATTTCCCTGAAGTTTGACTTTTCATCCTTGTGTGAATCGGCTTTGCCAGGAAGATATTTCTCCTTCTGTATTGATATTAAGGCAGTAAATTGTCTGTCCCTGCGCTCACTTGCTCGACTTTTTTTTTTTTTTTTCATGGTTGCTCTGTAATTTAAGTTCATCTTTCATGAAAACCATATGTTGGATTAAAGACAGGGTATTATTTTCATGCATTGTAATATACTCTGTTAGCTCCTCCATTACAGTGCCATGTTAAAGTAATTATTATTCCACGTGTCACTGTGAATGCGTTTAAGATTCTTTAGGTCTTCTCTAGCAGGAGCTGATTTCCACTCCTGATTAACTGCTCTCATTCTTTTTATACGTCGGAATTAGCTAAGCATAAGCTTATAGTTATTTTACAGGAAGACTTTTAGAAATATGAAAAAGTCATGCTAAAATAATTAGAAAACGAATTAGATTGCAATTCATGAAAACTGTAAGCTAATGACAGTAATTAACTTAATACTTGACAAAACCTAAATAAGCATAACTAAGTAATGATATAAAGAAAGGAAGTTTCAGTCTTGAACAGAAATGCCTTAAAACAGTTGAAAGAAGCAGTTTATACGATTGCATTTGTTTGATCATTGTATTTGTTCTTTTGGAGAAAGGCTGAAACTAGTTGGCTTCTACAAGTTTATGAGCTTATTTTTTTTGTAGCAGGGCTCAACTGACTGTACTAAAGGCGTAGAAAGAGGCCCCATTCGATAACCTTATCACTGATACTCTCCTTTCACCAAACCTCAGCTGTAGCCGTATTAAATAGAAGCACAGAAAATGGTATAGTAACCTCACCATCTGCTCTGCAGCTTAGTTTGTGTTCTGCAGTTGGAGCTGAAAATACGTTGCTTCAAATTGTGAGTTAAGTCGCTGAAATGAGATGGGACCCCTGCAGCCTAATCCATAGGAACCAGCCAACTCTTTTGAGTTTCCCATGTTTGATTAGTTGTACTGTAATTAAAGAAATTACCAATAGACCGCTGTCTGGATGTGATTAACTCACCAAGTGCTTGTACCTATATTCTTTAAGCATCTCCAAATAATTTAGGGCCTCATTTATGTTCCTTAACAAGGAAATAAATGAAAATCGTCTACAGCCTTAATACAGTGGCTTGTGCTACAAGCTGTTCTATCTTGTGCCTTGGTGATGCCTGCTCAGTTGTTTCTGATTATGCTGCATTATAATTAAAGAACCAGAAATGCTATTTGCCTAAATGAGAACATGCTGCCCAGTACAGGAGGGAGGGAAAGAAATCAGATAAAGACGAGAGCCTTCTAAGCAAATCAAACCCAGAATGTCTGATGATGCTGCACATAGACGTTGAGCTGTGGATGGGACTGCTTTAGCTGCTGGTAAATTTCTTCTGGGCTCTTCAGAATTGGAGTTTTTGATGATAATGACTTTTGTTCTTAAAATAAATGCAGGTCAGGTTGTTTTTGAAGAGCAGCAAAAGGGTGCATTCACGCTTGCTGCTGCTGTCCCACTGCCCTTGAGCCCTGTTGCTCCCTGAGCTTCGTGCTTTCTTTCTAACCATGCATACTGGAAGGTTGGGAAAAATCCAAGCATGCACCTCCCATGAGCTGGGCAGCACCTGGGGACAGCACAGGGATGCAGCTGCAGATCTGCTCGGTCCCTGCCGAATGCTGGCTTTCAGCACAGCCTGCTCCCTGCTGGGACAACCTGACAGCAACAGCACATTGTGTGAGAAGTAACCTGATTTTCTCCAGGACGGGGCAGAGCAGGGCTCATGGAAATGAAAAGGGCTGATGGGATGTTTTTGTTTTGCCTGTCAGATGTGTTCTGATGATATTCCCGTGTGTTTTCACAGTAAGTGAATGTTTGTGTAGCTTGCACCCTGAGCTGCCCTGCACATTGTTGAGGAGATGTGGTT